CAAGGTTTAGGGTGGGGAAGTAAGTTGCTAGAAATTTGCACTTTATTGTTTTTGATCTTTTACTGGCCTGAATCCATGGTGTTTTGTTAGGAAAACAAATTTTTTGTTTTTAGGAAAAAAAAATTTAAATTTTGGTATTTATGATTTATTAATAACAATCAAAACATATCATATCATAAAAATAAAGCCGCACGTTGGTTGACTGCCTCAGTGAGGTAAATATTGTAAGCTTGAAGGTGCCCTCATTTCACCACAAAATGAGTCGATCTTGATAATATAAGATGTTTTACTGTAAGATATTTTAAAAATATATTAAGATGTTTGAAGGCGATGCAGTCTATGCAGGTGTAACCGAAGCAACTTAGAGTCCTTGTTAGCGATATGCAGAAGGAGAAAGTTCAAACTTGTTTGTATGCAAACCAAAGACTGAGCTCACACATTCTGAATGATAGCCATTCCGAAGATGAAAGTTCCCTTCGGCTACAAATAGTGTAGTAATAAGGACATCAATAGATACTGTACTCTTATAAATGCTGCTTATTAAAAATACCTTAGTTCCCAAAAATTTGTGTGCCATTATATTGAGCACAATTTATTTGAGCCCGAAAAATTTGGGCAGAAAATTTGAACTCATTTGGGCGACCGAAAATTTGGGCACAAATTCTTCGAAAAACGAACGATTTTCCACTAAAATTTCAGTTAGATATTTGCCTTAGTTCATTATTATTCCTTATTATTCCAGTCATTTTGCTTTCTAATACCCTGACCAGTGTCCAGTTCTTTGAGAAAATCCTTCTTCCCCACATAGAATCAGTTCGAACCTCCATCAACAACCCTGAGCAGAAAGCGCTACTGATATCAGATGTGTTTCTGGCCCAACGCACACAGACACTAAAAGATCTGATGACAGCCAACAACTGCATCCTACAGAAAGTTCCAGCTAATATGACCCATGATCTACAGCCCCTGGACATATCTATCAATGAACTGGCTAAGAAATTCATGCGCAATAAGTACGAATATTCACTATATTGGTACGCGAAAAACATAGTGTGTCAGCTCAATGGAGGAGTTTCATCAGACAATGTGAAAATTGATACCTGCTTGACAGTGATCCGTGAAGTACACGCTCGTTGGATCAACGAACTTTTTGTACAGGGTGGGCCAAAAGTCAGTACCCATACGTTGACCTTTATAGCTCAGTCACTGAGTGCCCAATTTAAATACTTCTTTCTGATATGACTTAGTACCAACACTGGTTCGAGGAATTTGTCAATGAAGCATAACGAGTTTATTCATTACATGTGATCAGGTGATTGGTTTACCTAATCACGTGATAAGGTGACCCCGTTAAACATTATGGGAATTGTTAAGGGTGCCCAATTAAGGTCTCGTGTCACGGTGTCACATAATCACCCAGTCAATTTTGTTAACGAGATACAGAAAATGCTTGATAACTTCGCTATTTCTAATCCGTTTTGCCTCATGTTTTCAGATCATATGCAACATTTAATAATCTACCGTCTCTGAAAAAATTAGGCGTTCAGCATGTTCAGAGAAAACAATATAGGTGTTTTAATATTGAATGGGCGTGGTCTAAAATATTCGAATTTTCAAATTTTGACGACGGATTCCTCGAACCAGTAAGTACAGTATGCCATCTGCAAAGCAACAGCTCTCAAATATAAAACACGGCGTAGCTCTTAAGGCTAACGTATGGGTACTGACTTTTGGCCCACCCTGTATATTTAAAAGGGAGGCCAGATGACATAAGGAAAGGCTTTGAGAAGTCGGGTATAACTGATGCTTGTAGATCAGACTTTACGGTGGATGATAATCCATTTGCAGATCTTGTTTAAATCTCTAGCTATCCGTACCTCTAGCCATTTGTTTTATTAGTAGCTGTTAGCTATTCCAGTTATTTCTATTCATTTAAAATATAAGCCTTTTTAGTTGGTCAAGCCTTGAATGACAGATTAGAAAACTAAAATTTAAAATAAAAAAATGGAGCCAATATGTTCACGTCTTAAATGAAAACTCCGATAAACTTCCTGTTGAGTGGGGAGTTCCCCAAGGCTCTGTTCTTGGTCCCTTACTATTCCTCCTGTATATAAATGACCTATGCAACGTATCTAATAAAGGCAAGTTTATCTTATTTGCTGACGACACTAACCTATTCGTTTCTGCAGACTCGAAAAAAGACGTTTATAATGTAGCTAACGATATTCTTTCGTCTATTTCTAGATACATGAAATGTAATCTACTACATATTAACGCTAAGAAGAGCTGTTATATGTATTTCTCCCCAAACAAACGTGTAAATGAATCGTCTACATGCAGTACACCCGATGATTTAAATCTCTCCATAGACGGCTCCATAATAATACGTGTTAAAACAACTAAGTTTCTAGGTGTGCTGATTGATGATAAACTGAACTGGAAAGCTCACGTCGAATCACTAAATAAGAAACTAAGAAGTGCTTGTGGACGTATTTACCGCATAAAAAACTGTCTACCTATAAAACTGCACAAGCAGATATACCACACACTATTTGAATCACACCTTACGTTCGCCATCTCAGTATGGGGTGGTGTCTCTAACCAAGTTATCAACCCTGTATTCTTAACACAGAAGAGATGTATTAGAATAATTTTTGGAGATGCAAACTCATACCAAAACAAATTCAAAACATGTGCTCGTTCTAGACCTATTCGATGTAAAATACTGGGCAAATATGAGTCTAATGTTAATATAAACTCTGTTAATCCACGTATTAAACCATGTGCAAAGTGTGTCCGCTCTAAATCGGTAGTTCATAATAAACTTGTTAGACCCTTATGTTGTCAAAAACTAGGAGCTGAATTCTATTCCAAGGAATCAACCAAACCATTATTTAACAGTCATAAACTCCTTACTGTTCATAATCTTTACAAACTTCGTACTATAACTGAACTTTTTAAAATAGTGAAATATAGGGTACCCATATCTCTCTACTCTTTACTTAACATGTCTGAACTGAGGGATGACCGTCTAATACCACCAAAGCCAAGCCATAACTTTATTTATAAATCTTCTTGGCTTTGGAATCAATTCAAGGACTCCAATCCACAGAATAAACCTGACTTTGTGAACACATCCTGTAACTCAATCAAATCAAGGCTGAACCGATCTCTTCTAGATGCCCAAAGCAGGTTCGATAATGAGTGGCATAATGATAACTTTAACAGTTTTGGACCATGCTAGATTATTGATAAAAACGTGGAATTTATGTAAACAAATACTTAATTACTTAAATATTGCCGTTTCCGTACGGCGCTATACGTAATATATGTTAAAAGCGCGCCGCAGCTACTCCCTACCTCAACATTTGCGCGGGTTTCTTAAGCGCGCACGTACGTTTATTCTTGGTCGTTAATCAGACCCATGACATAACGCTATAGGTGGCAGTGACTGTAATTTTCTTCAACAATTACTGAATTATCCATCCATAAAGTGATTTACAAAATGACACCTAAACCTCGTGTTTCGGTGTTCACTTAAACGGTACTTGGCGGCTGAACTGTGGTGTCTGACGTTTGCAGCTAGATCGGACTCTGCATGATATTGTATTAGCAAATTTGTATAGTGTATAATTGTTTAGTGTTTATAATACTCTGCAACCTGGTAGCACGGCTGACACAAAAACAAAATGTTGGCCTGGCTTGTGCATAACTAAGTAAATAACACGCACTCCGATAAAAGCCGTCTGGAGAAACTCCGCAAAATGTTCATTGTAGTCAACGGGCACAAAGAAGCACTACTAGCAATTGTGTCCTTTACCCTCCTACATAATTTGAACATTTTTGTGGCTAACTCATTGAACAACATCTGAATTAAAATGTGTCTAGTATTAAAAGATTCAGTAAGTAATTTTTTCATGTACGCTGTACACTGTAGTTAGTAAATCAAATCAAACTTTTTCGATCAGCCGCGCGCTGAACCAGTGTTGCACTAGGTAAAAATTGTGTATATTTTGTTCATTTTTGAGTGTAAATTAATTTATTAATTTATCACAAATTATTTTATTATAATATAACCACTTATGTGAAATGGTTATTTTGACTTTAAATATTTGAACTAAATATGAATTGATTGTGGGTATAAAATAAAATTTGTTTTACTAAAAAAAATTTGTTTTACTAATATTATTTCACTTGGATATGAAGAAAAAGCCATCTTTCTATAAATTTCAGGGCCACAGGCCAAATGCCAAAAGTTTGGTTAGCAAAAAATTTAGCAGACGGAAAAGATTTATGCAATTAATTTGGTCTGCAACAAATTTGGGCGAGAGGCCCGCTCAAATTTTTTGTCGCCCAAATTTTTGGGAATTAAGGTAAAAGAAAGTCTGGAAGCTATCCCCACCCCTCCCCTCCCTCCCTTTAAAATCACATTATTATATTTGATAGCCCCAATTACAATCCCGTCAATTTTCAAGATTTTTGAAATACATTTGTAACTTGAATATTTATGCATTATTTAGTGAAACAAATTTAAAATTTTATCCTTTATTTTACAATCATAATATAATAATATTTATAAGCCTCCGTTTTGAAAGTTTTAAATTTTAATATATTCACATTTCTATTTAAAATTCAATTTAATGTATAAGTCAATAACTGGCCGCCAAAGCCACGCATTCATGAAAACAGGATTAACTTGTTTATAATTATACTATACGACAAATAGAAATAACTATTAGATCATAATATATCGTCAATTCTAAATATTTACAATACAACATTTCATTTATCTATAAACAAACGTACTCCAGCCCCTACACGCATCCGTTCTTATGCGGCGCGGCTCAAGCCGTGCACGCACGTATTATTTTATACTTTTTGCTTTCTAATAGATATCGTGTCATTGTGTACGTGTAAATGTTCATGTTTTGTGTAAACCGAATCCAATTGAGATTAGTGACAAGGATAAGGACCCAAGTGCCTGTACGGCTTTTTTTAACCTTCTTAGAGGGCACCCTTAACCATCACCTCTTGAATGATATTCATTCAACTAATGAAATTGTAATATAAAGGAAGCATGATTGATTCAACTATATATCGATTTGTTGTTGAAATATCGAATTTTTCAGGATATTTTAATGATTAAAGGATGAGAAATACTCAAAAAAAATTGGAGGAAGACAGCCAGCGAAAAGCTGTGGAAAACAAGTTTGAATCGTTGTGCAACACAATTACTAGTCAAGAGTATAATTGGAATCAATGCTTGGGAAATGTACTTAGTCTAAAGAATGAACTCCTCAAGCATCCGATTCCACCCTCATTAATGTTGAAACATACCCTCTGTCATTCAGAATTATATCGTAGCCAGGCTGACCTAATGGCTCCTGTGCGTGAGTTGGTCAGGCTAGTGACTGTTTATAAGCAATCTTTAGAAGAGAAGAGTATTGCTCTCAAAAGGATTGATGGGGAAAATGAGAGACGCAAAGTAGAACTTGATATCGCAGTTAAAAAGTTGGAGCAATCTTACAACTATGAAAAGCAGTGGCGTCGAGATCATACATTGAATAACTGGGAAAGAGTATTTTGTAAAGCAGCTTTGAACAGAACTCATGGTCGAAGATGGAAGTTTGTTATCAGTAAAGTAAAGCAAAGAGCAGCACTTGGTCTATCTGTTTTTAACCCCATGCTTGATAGTGTTTCTGATGATGAGGAAATGACTGCTGGCATTGTAGCACCTCGTTTTACTTATGGTAGCACAACAAACTCATCACTAGGAATGACTAAACGAAGTGGCGTCACAAGTCATTATACAACTTCAGCGAATAGTACTACTAAGCAAAGCAGTGCAGTGCAAAGTAGCCTGTTGAGTTCCAGTCTAAATGTAGATACTTCTGGGGATACAGAAGATGAGGACACACAGGACACTGAGCCGATGCCCACAAAACATATTCGATCTTCTCCAACCACTCCCAAATCACCAGCATTACCACCAAAGAAAAAGGTGCAAACTAAAGACACTGCAGTATCTACTGAAGATATTGAACATGATAAGATTTTGAAAATTCAGGTTTTCAATCCGATAGGATTCAAATTAGCTCACACAGATATTTCATGCAAGTTTACTTTGTTGAAACAGACCAGTACTAGCGAAATTTTGGACTATACTGAAGAAGGGAGTTATGATGAGATATGTTTTCTGTTTGAAGGTGAGCAGTATAAAACATTGGGTTATAAGCGTGGTACTTCACTGGGCGCAATGCTTGAGGAAGAAGTGTCAGAACAATTAGAGATAACAATACATCATGGGGAAGATAGGAAAATCTTTGCTATATCTACCATTCCTATTGAGGATATATCAGATTCTCAACCAGAAGTAAGGGAGATGATAAACCAAGACGATGTTGTTCCCAAACCATTCCCGATATATGCTTTGGAGGGTGATGTCACTGCGCCTTGCGGTTACTTGCCCATATTTTGTGTATGGCAATTGAAAGTCAGAAAGAAGCGATACGATGTGGGGGTTGGTACTGAAGTGGATGATATGCAAATAGAACTAGTAGATGAAGACGGTGAGGATCTTGATGATGAATTGTCTCTAACCAAAGTGTCATCAACTTCACCAGCCTTATCCAAGAAGTCTGTTTCAGTGAAGATTCCAACACCTAAGCCTCCATCAGAGCCAGCCACTCCTGAGCCTAACGTTGTTAACCAGCCCTCTAAAAAGGAAACAGATCAGATGGTAGATGAAATTGTTAGAGCAAATGCTCAGGAGATGGCTATAGCTCATGCTCAAGAGATCGAAAGGCTTCAGTATGAATATGAGCTAAGGCTTGAAGGAATGGCAAAAGCTTTGGAAATGATGAAGATAGATCAGGAAGAATCTCGAGCTGCAGCGGAATATTCTCAAACACCAATGTCATTGGTTTCCTGTTTCTCCAATCAAACTCGACCTAACTCTACATCAGATGTCGTTCAAAAGTCAGGCCGTGTAGATGTACCCTCGATTGCAACTCAGCAAAGATCGGTGACAACTCTAAATGAAGGGAAAAGGAGGAGGCAGAGCATGAGAAAAAGGGAAGTGCTACCCCGTGATTTCTTCGAGAGAATGGAATATTTCACACGCAACTCTCTCTCAAGACAACAGGACCTAGTGATGAGAGTAAGGGATGAAGTGAGAGCACATGCTGAAAGCGCCATGGCAACACAGCACAGGCTATCACATCGTGTAACCAGCGCAGACAGTGCTGACAGTGGAATTAATGAAGCAACCCAAGATCTCTCGCTGCCCGCTATTTTCATGCCTAAAAAGACAGGCCTTGTATTCTCTCCAAAAGCTTGCAGATACTTTCACCCCCCGGGCAGTAAAGAACCCCGGTTATCTCAAGCTCCCTCTGTATTTCAACTTCCTCACATGAGTAAAACACCTGTGCTCAATTTGTTCGATCTTTCACAGAAAAACGTCGTCCGGAATGGACCCGGATGGCTGTATAAAACTTGTAAAGATGTAACCAAGCGTTGAGTTTCTGGTGTTTTAATTGTTAGCAAGCTCAGTGATAACTTGTCTGTAGTTAAACTTTGGATACTTATCAAGATTATTCAGATTAATTATTGATGATTATTATCGGTTTTACTTAGATGTATTTTTCAACCAAAAAATGTTTAATCTTAGTTCTTAAAGTTTAGTGGAACCTTGAATTACAGGTTAATTTCCTGATAATGGTCGCTGTATGTTCAAGTCTTTGATGACCTATATTTGGGTTTGTTATTTCGATTCTGGGTGTCAGGATATTCAAATTTGACAAGTTTTATAATTTATAAAATACTGTACATCTTTTTTCCTCTTTTAACCTATTAATATACCTCCTTGAGTTTGATTTCACACGCAGAAAACATCAGTTCAAGCAATTTATTAGACCAAAAAAAGTTGTCTAATGTTTTCTTGTTTTCTAAATTTAGGTGTGTCAGTCACACTTACAGTTGTATTGTTTTTAAACAATTTTGTAATTTTGCTGATGCATCAGACAAAATGATATATTTTAGACAAAATTACAGATCACTAACAAAATATCTTCCCATAACGCAAGTTATGAAAGTTAAAGTTAAAGACAAATGCCAATGTAACCTCTGTGACTGCGGGTAAATATTTTCTTTGTTTCAACAAAAATATAAATTTGTTTTTAGCCTCTAGATGATTACTAAAACAAAACGCAGGAGTGTATCTCCATGGAGATTCCAATAAGATGTGTAGTATGTGATGAAAACAATATGACGACTCTGTGAACCACACTGACCACATAATATTTATTCTTGCACTGTCTTGTGTGACGTTATGAATCGTTAGCACTTAGCATGTAACAAATTATATGTCTTATCACAGGAAACACAAATGTCAGTTACACGGAAAGAAGATAGAGAAATATATCCCGTTGCCAGGCAACCCCGAGAACTTCAAAACACACTATCAGGTTTACTGTACAATTTAGCAGCTGGATATTTCCTATGCAAATTCGATTGTTAGCGCGTTTTATTGAGTTACTAAGACCTGTAAACAATATGTTATATCTTTATACATTATAACAATTATATAATAAATTACTAACAGTCCTCTTTTCAGCTGGAGTTTAAAGAAAAGCCTGGCCACCAACCCCCCAAGCCCTGCCTACCTGTACTTGTAAGTTTACCGATTATTTTATAATTTGGATGCAGTGAAACTATTAAAATATATCGACTCTGTTACATCGCTTTCTCAATAAATCTATTTAATCGTATTTGTGAAAATAGTTTATCGTTGAATCTTAAATAATCAGTTTGTCATCTGTTAATTGTGTGGGAGGCTCTGGTACAAGCCTTCCATCTGTTCCAATTCATTCAATCATTCAATTGACCAAAGACCATATTTATATATTTAAATAAAATTCGAAGCTTCCAGTTTCTTCAACTATAGACAACAAATGTTAAAAGTTTTAATAGTTTAAACAATGCACTGTAGTTTTACAGAGCACTACCTATCCGTGCTTCTCTTTTATTGTTCAGAAACTGATTTCACAAGTACGATCCTTCTTACCTCGGACTTTCTCACTTTTAAACGTTTAAACTATTGAACTACATTGAACTTCCAAAATATTTACAGAGTCCGATTATAAACACGCAGCAAATCACAATCACGTGTTTTAATATGACTGATGCTTCTTTCAAAAACCTTTATCCATTTACCTAAATCATTAGAAACTGTCATCACTGAGTCTATTCAATTTCAGAAAAAATCTGAAATTTTCTTAAAAGAATCATCAAATAAGAATCAATAAATGATAAAGTCAATTCATTACACTACGTAATCAGATGACTGATGCTTACAATTCAGATCAAACAGGCTCCAAGTCCGGAGAAGCACCCGTTTGAAGGGTCAACTGAATCTCAGGAAGCTTTCCACCAGAAGGCTTTACCTCTCAAGTTTAGGAAGGAGAAGGAAAAGTACGAGAAGCCGGAGGGCTGTATGGCCTTGGTAGGTTACTAGGTTACTAGGTTACTAGGTTACTAGGTAGGTTACTGATTTAGTTGTTTTTTTGTTTTCATATGTAATATGCTGGCCAAAAGGTTTAGCTTTGAAAACTGTGAGGAGTTGTCAAATATTTTCATGCCTATTTCACTTAGTTACTAGGTTACTAGGTTACTAGGTTACTAGGTTACTAGGTTACCTGGTTACTAGGTTACCTAATTCTAACAGCCAATTTAATGAAATAATTGTAGACATTATTTATTGACGCGACGTATAATAGTAGTGGCTAGGAAATTACTTCTTTACTATTATATGGTTGAACAACATGAAATAGCCAAAATAGAGCAGTTTTAAGACATGCAAGGAGTAATAAACTGAAGTTGTATTAACCTTCTTCTACACTCTAATGACATATTTCCCTAGCTCACAACAAAGTCCGCTGACTACACCGCTAAACCGTTTATAAAACAGAAATCTTACAAACCCAACCTCAAAGCTGATAGGCCGAAACAACTTCCTCAATTTGAAGGTAGTGTATATTTTAGTATTTAATATTTTTCAAGGTATACTCTCAAGCATCATCAAATATACAATTACTTGTGCTGTTATCTGGCAACTGCTTTCTAGAAGATATTGTCACGTTTTTAAAGATAATGAAAGATTTAAGCAAGATTTAAAGCAATGTGTTTCAGGTGAGACAACTTCAGCGGCGTTCTACAAGGCGTACGAAGGATGTGAAAGACAGAAGATGTACAGTGAGCACCCTGTTAATCTGACACTGAATACAGACAAGTTCGAGGGGGTCACCACTGCTAGACACAGCTACCCTGCTTACAGGTAATTTAAGGGTAATGAATTGGTAATGAATGGGTAATAAATAGTTAAATAGGGTATTAACTTTAGGTTACAGCTAGATACTTATTATTTTGAGTTTCGAAGTGTAGAAATCCTTTGCCGATCCATTTTCACTAGATGTAACTATTTTAAACCTACTAATTTATAGTAATATCAGTTCTGACTATCTTCTTTCCTCAGAGGAAACAGCAGAACACTACCAATAAAACCAGTGGAGAAAGAGTTTGAGAGTGGTTTACAGTTCTACGGGGTAACAACTAACCATGACAACTACAAAGGAGTGCAAGGTGCCGGTGCTATGCAACCTATCATACACCCCTCTACTTACAAACAACCTACAGGTACATATTATTACTCTTAGTACGGTACCTTAGTACGGTACCTTAGTACGGTACCTTAGTACGGTACCTTGATACGGTACCCTGTAACCATGACAACTACCGGTACCTATAATTCCGGGTCCTAAATATGTAGCACTTAGCAATTGAAATTCCGACACGCTTTGAATTTCAGATGATAAATGTAGCACCAAATTGCGAATTGTAAGAATGTCTGAACATAAACTGTAAGGTAATATGTACCCTACATTGTTCTTCGATTACAATGTGTAATCCAAGAACAATGTGAATTATCGATTTCAAATCTAAGTTCTTTTTAAAACATTTGCAACTAAGAAAATTTCGATCAACAATTATGGTAACGAACTTTGTATCGTTAGCATGTTTGGTAAGCTCATTTATGATCTAAAAGGGATAAAATTAATAAATTAATTGTTTAATTAACTTAAATAAGGTTTAATTAATTAAGCCTGATACAGGTGAGTTCTACACAGAGACCACAACAAAAGCGCACTACAGTAACAAAGCTCTCTCGGCATCCCTCAGATCACACCCCATCATCCCTCAAGAGATTAGAGAGCCCCTCGCTGATTTTAACGGTACAGTTGTGTGCTCTGTACGGTACGATATACGGTACCGTATATCGTACGAATTACGGTACGATATACGGTACCCTGTACGATGTACGGTACCCTGTACGGTACAATATACGGTACCCTATACAGTACACTATACGGTACACTATACGGTACCCTATACGGTACGATATATACGGTACCCTATACGGTACTCTATACGGTACACTGTACGGTACCATGTACAGTACCCTGTACGGTACCCTGTACGGTACCCTGTACGGTACCCTATACGGTACCCTATACGGTACACTATACGGTACCCTATACGGTACACTATACGGTACCCTATACGGTAAACTATACGGTACCCTGTACGATGTACGGTACCCAGTATGGTACCCATTTTTTACTGTACACGTTGTTTACGGTAACCTCTCGCTGATTTTAACGGTAAAGTTGTGTGCTCTGTACGGTACCCTTTTGTACAGTATCCTTAATTTGTACGGTACCCTTTTATAAGGTAACATATTTTACGGTACCCTTTTGTACGATACTCTTTTGTACGGTACCCTTTTGTCCCGGTTTTAGTTTCCAAATGGAGTGAAGATGAGAATAGAAATTGTAAGCTATGTGATCAGCTAAAGTAAGCTCAGTTTATAGCTGTCTAATTACAACAATCATGAGATAACTTGTTTATATCGTGTGAGCTAGCTTTGTGGTTGGAAGCCAACAAGCTACAAGTGTGGCCTGTAACAACAAAGCTCTCCAGAAAAGCGTTTTAACCAATATCTAGCTGTTGTACTGTGCTTGTTGGTTAAAACTAGCAGTTGGACTGTATTTCTGAGTGGAGTACTGAAAACAGTGTCTGAGGAATATAATAGCCTTTTATAGACTAGTTTATAGACTAGATTATAGACTAGTTTATAGACTAGTTTATAAACTAGTTTATAGACTAGTTTATAGACTAGTTTATAAACTAGTTTATAGACTAGTTTATAGACTAATTTATAGACTAATTTTTAGACTAGTTTATAGACTAGTTTATGAACTAGTTTTACTGAAAAGTTGAATACGATATCCCGGTTAGCGTTACTTTATTATCAGGTAAGTTGAATACGATATCCCGGTTAGAATAGCGTTACTTTATTATCAGGTAAGTTGAATACGATATCCCGGTTAGAATAGCGTTACTTTATTATCAGGTAAGTTGAATACGATATCCCGGTTAGAATAGCGTTACTTTATTATCAGGTAAGTTGAATACGATATCCCGGTTAGAATAGCGTTACTTTATTATCAGGTAAGTTGAATACGATATCCCGGTTAGAATAGCGTTACTTTATTATCAGGTAAGTTGAATACGATATCCCGATTAGCGTTACTTTATTATCAGGTAAGTTGAATACGATATCCCGGTTAGCGTTACTTTATTATCAGGTAAGTTGAATACGATATCCCGGTTAGCGTTACTTTATTATCAGGTAAGTTGAATACGATATCCCGGTTAGCGTTACTTTATTATCAGGTAAGTTGAATACGATATCCCGGTTAGAATAGCGTTACTTTATTATCAGGTAAGTTGAATACGATATCCCGGTTAGAATAGCGTTACTTTATTATCAGGTAAGTTGAATACGATATCCCGGTTAGAATAGCGTTACTTTATTATCAGGTAAGACTACAAACTCGGAAACCTACCCAGCCCACCCCCCACAAGATCGACCCAAACCCAGAGAAAAAGAGAAATATAACAAACCTACTGAAAAGATGGACATTACCTCAGTTCACAGGTACGAGTATTAACCTATTGATGCGTATGATTATATATATAATAATAATGTTTATTTCTTTCTATATCAGACATTCGGAAATGTTACGAGCTATTCCATATAATTTTCCAATATTCCAATTACCTTTTACTCAGCAAGTTCTGTACAAAGTTTCATTTTTGAAACCCCAATACCAAGTTTTTGATAACGACTAACACTTCTCAATAACAGAGAAATCTACAAGCTCTACCCTAGTAACACCCTAGAAACACCCTAGTAACACCCTAGTAACGACTAACACTTCTGTCTCTCAATAACAGAGAAATCTACGAGCTCCACCCTAGTAACACCCTAGAAACACCCTAGAAACACCCTAGTAACACCCTAGTAACGACTAACACTTCTGTCTCTCAATAAACAGAGAAATATACAAGTCCCACCCTAGTAACACCCTAGTAACACCCTAGTAACTTAGTAACACCCTAGTAACGACTAACACTTCTGTCTCTCAATAACAGATAAATCTACAAGCCCCACCCTAGTAACACCCTAGTAACACGCTTGGAACACCTTAGTAACGACTAACACTTCTGTCTCTCAATAACAGAGATATCTACAAGCCCCACTCCGTGCAGCGCCGCCGCAAGCTAACACCACTAGATCCTGTAGTAAGGAAAAGCAGCGCCCCAGTTCCTAAGTTCCAGGGCAGGACCACGCATAAAGAACAGTTTAAACGCTGGACGGTACGGCCACGGATATAGTGTTTATTATTTTTAATGGGTTGTTTTATCAATATAGTGAACTTAACAGAAGATAGATAGATTAGGATGGAGGAGTTTATTTACTTTGAGATATTTTGGACGGAGATGTCAAAGAAAGCACTTTGCTTAATATCTTTAGGTACATCTCCAGTTGTTATATAATGATATATTAGTAAGTAAGTAAGTATTCGATAGATAGACAATAACTTACACCTCTGTACATTAATCAACAGTTAAATGTTTGAGATGAACCATCATTAAAACAATGCATTGATTACTTATGTAATAACTAAGTTGTTAATACAATATTTGTTTTGGTAACATTATCCCCCGCACTAGATTGAGAAACAGAAAGCGTTCAGTGAGCCGCCACGGCTGCTGAAAGTAGGGATAGGTACCATGGAAACCAGGACAATGCAGCAACGAGACTTCGTTTACGATGGTGCTAAGGTATGTAGTATGTACTGTCAGATATTAAACTAATTACAACACTACAAATCTATTACATTTATTGAGGAAACGATGTAACACAGTCGATATATTTTAATGCCATGGGGTGGCAAGTCCCCATTCATCGCAGTCCGATAGTTTCATTGCATCCTAATATACAAACATTTGTTTCGACACGTGACAATGACAATCTAATCGGTTTTTAGACTTAATTTATGTGAGGATTTTATTGGTCGCTGCTGGAATCTGTTCATCGCTGTCGCCTGTCAGAAAAATAAATGTTGATGACCTTACTATTATCTAAATCTTCAGTGACCTATTAATATGAATGTGCCCTTTTGCATGTTAAGAAAAGATTGATAGTCAATAAATTAAAAAAGACTTAGTAGGACTAGATAGTCTATCCCATATTATGTACTAAAGCTACCCCGCTCGAATAGGCAATCCTCCAGAGTTGATAGTGTGCTTGATTCGTATCCTGACACTACACATTTATAATGTACATGATGTGCCACATTTATTGCTTGTTGCTATGGTTACTTCTCAGCTGAGCAAGGTGTCTCATATTAAAAATAGATATTTCTAGAAATGCATTTGTCAATTGGCGGCTTTCTGTAGAAATTTTACAAGAGGTACATTCTCATTTCAGGTGAATTATGAAATGTTATATAAATGAAATTGAATACTACTTGCCTATTTTTGACAAGCCGAATATTTAATAATGATATTGCTTGTCAAACAAGTTTCCATGCGCTCTATAATATATGTACCTATATATAATAATTTGAAGTTTTGTGTCAGCATTTCGATAACCTCATAACCTGACAAATGCTCAATGCTTCACAAATGTAGAATTGTTTTGTCGTCTAGACTTTCTAGATATTCTAGAATATTCCAAGACAAAATTCTGTCGGATTCTTACTCATTTTAAGAACCATTTTCCAACTCGCTTAATCTAAGGAAAATAGGCTCATTTAGTCTGATAAATATTAACACATTTCGCACCAACTACTTTTCACTCTCACTTAATTCCACCATTACTATTTCAGGTGGACAGAGCCAAGCCAATAATCCCCCAAGTGAAAGTAATAAGAAGTGACCTTCCCCTGGACTGCCTCACTAGTTACATGCTGGAATTCAAGGGACTCCAGAATAAGTGTAGATTAGCTGAGATGCTAGTTAGTCAAGCAGAACACAAGCTCAGTGCTTAACACTGTTAACACTGTTAACACTGTTAACACTGTTAACACTGTTAACACTGTACAGTGTACTTAGAGAGCTTAGAGGCCATTTTCACATTTTCATTTATTACTTTTATTTTGACACAATGTATTACTCCACGGCAATTGTTCTAATTGTAGGTGCTGTGTGATAGCGTGAACTTTCTTTAACCAATTACATATTATTCTTGACAGCATTTTAAATCTTTTTATTCTAAAATGTTAATGATTGCATGCGGAGTAACATGACTATTTGCATGTCACTTTTGAACTGATTCCTGCCACTGATTTTCTTATCAAGTTTGCTTATTTTTATCACGAATGTGATCAAGAAAACTAATTTATATGTGCTCATGACTATGTTTTACAGATGTTTATATTATGGTTATAATCTGATATTTTAATTCTCACTCCATCGTGGGGCAGTCTCGTCTAAAATAAGTTATTGTGGTAACGCGCGGCACAGAAACAATATTAATATTTTGGTTGACGTGCGCGGTTTCTATAGATACCAGGTCTACCACGTGGTTTGCTTATACCATGTGACTGAAATAGCACTTTATTACATCAGGTGGCAGGTATACCTTATACATGTTATACCATGTTCATTGTTCTTACCACTACATTAGCTACCTTTAAAACTGACCACAGTCAATGGTTAACATGCGAGCTCAGTTCGTGAGTAAACGCTGACACAGATTTTAACTAATAATAAATAAATAATGGTAAGGTGAGGTCACCGAGTGCACGGCACGTTTCACAGAGCTAGATTACACAGTGCTTATCAGGTTATGCAGTGCAATAGCGGGATGTTATTACAGCAAGCAACTTAGCACGTGTCATGTTGTCATGTCCTTGTTTTAGTCAAGGACATTCCATTATAGGAGTTAAAAACGTATTTCTCTTGTGATAGATTTAGAGCACTGCAGTGATATTTGAAACAGAGGATTTTGTGGACATGACATTATGAGTGGACCAGTTTAAAATTACGGAGTGCGCTACTTGATAGCTAAAATATTTCGCACACTATTTGATAGCAATCGTAGAGTCCAGCAGAAATGTGGATCAGGCAATGGTTAAGACCAGAAGTTGAACATAATGAGAAGTAAATTTTGAGATTAGACTCTTGATCTTGGCTTGAAACTTCAAATCTGGAGTGGACGATTTATAATCAATTCAGTAACAAATTTCAACTCCATTGCGAGTAGAATCGGTGGCAGCGAGCGTGGGGATACACATAAACGAAGGCAAGACCAAGGTTATGACATTGAATATGGAGGATCGATCTAGCGATAAGGGTTAGAAAGGGAAAAGCATGGGATGCCCTACATAGACTGAAGGATATCTGGAAATCCAAACTCTCAAAGAGCCTAAAGATTTGATTGTTCATAGCGGCTTGTGAATCAGTACTGCTCTACGAATCAGAAAGCTGGACACTGACAAAGGCTCAAGAGAAAAGTTGGGACGGGACATACACAAAGATGCTGCGTATGGTGCTGGGTATCTCATGGAAGGACAAGGTCATCAATATAACTAATAACTTTGTATGGTAGCCTACCAAGGCTGTCAAACAAGTTACGAAGCAGGATATTAAAAATGGCAGGACACTGCATCAAACATCCTAAGCTACTTGCCAGTAATTTAGTCTATGCATGGAAGAGCACAGCAGGGCCGACCAAGACAAAGCTACTCAAAGAGGAACTGCGAACCCTGATGCGGGACAGGGATATATGAAGGGGGTTATCTGGCTTAGATCGGACTTAATTCCGACATAGTAGTAGTAGTAGTATTGCGGCTAATCCAACGAGCTTCTATAATCAGATATTAAAAGCCTGTTGCCTTGATCCTTGCTCAAATATTAAGTAATAACGATGTAAATTAACTTAATCACCAGTATTACAATCCATGCCCTCAACTGATTGACAATGTACTACTATGTGTGTTAACTATATAAACCTGCATTAATCTGTAAATAATAGTAATCGAGTGGTCTGGCGGCACTAACTCTGAGTAGGGCGGCACAGTTACTCCGCAAAAATCATCATCTTGATGCTCTACTACGTCACCCTGTATTACAAATCCTACTTTCCCCACTGATTCCGATTCGGGCGAGGCCAGCTCCAGCTCTAACATCTCAACAAAACCGTAAGTTCTCGTATCTTCCATCCCTAAAAGTAATCTCACGGGATTCCCCAGAAAGTAACCTGATTCTCCTGATTAAAGGAACACGTGATCAGAGTTACACTACTAGTTACCATAGTTACACGTGATCAGAGATATAAAGTAATAAGATTGGAGAAAGGTGGTTCTGTGTCCCTTTAGTGAGTTTGTTCCTTTGCAGCCTTTTGTGAGACTGGACTCCTGATATGATGTCACTTCTGTCATGGTTTACAGGTAATGTTCCATGTTATCTGAAATCTGAACCAAGTTATCAAGTATCAAGTTTAAGCGTTTTAATGAGACTGTTTGATTAGATTAGTATTAACTGTATTTCCGACTTAGTTTCTAATTACCTTTTGGTAAGTTGTTGTTAAATTATTCTCTTGAAATTCGGAATTCAAATTATTTAACGTTTGAAATATGTTATCAGTCCGTTATATATATCCCAAAACCTAAGTTCACTAAACGACCTTGAGTCAGAGAGTAAACCATTATTTTATCAGTATTGTCAATTGTGCAGTCGAGAGGTTACTCATTAGCGTTTTTAAAACGATAATCATTCGTTTTGCAAATGAGCATAAACGCGGTTTCTGAAGCTAAATTTCCCGTGGTTGCATAAAAGTTGCTAGTTTTGAAAGGTGGTGCTCATGTTCAGAGTTGGAAGTAATAGAAATATCTCTCAGAAACATTGAACATTTGATAGAGTCTGTAGCTGCTTCCTGGGATCTGCCAGTAAAATCACCACTGCACTACAGGTCAGCAGTAACTGTCAGTTAGTTGTTTAGTTGTTTTCTTGTTCCCATTATACCTCTGTTATACACAGGGTTCTTACAGAGCATGGCATGTTAGAGGCGATTGGGGGAAGGGGAGCACAGTGGGAGGGGGGAGGCCGGGAGGCAGGAAATATTTGCAGTGGCTGTGGCGGGAGTTCTTCAAGTGACCGTGGTAAGATAAAAGCGAATTCCCCAGTATAATTGATTTCTTTTCCACCGACCGTGTCAATATAATACCACAACTCTCTGAAAACAAACCTACATTAGCGCCTAACAAGCCGTGTCTAACCGCTAAACGGGAACTCTCCACGGTAACCTAGCAACCTGACGGTAACCTAGCAACCTGACGGTAACCTAGCAACCTGCCGGTAACCTAGCAACCTGACGGTAACCTAGCAACCTGACGGTAACCTAGCAACCTGACGGTAACCTAGCAACCTGACGGTAACCTAGCAACCTGACGGTAACCTAGCAACCTGACGGTAACCTAGCAACCTGACGGTAACCTAGCAACCTGACGGTAACCTAGCAACCTGACGGTAACCTAGCAACCTGACGGTAACCTAGCAACCTGACGGTAACCTAGCAACCTGACGGTAACCTAGCAACCTGACGGTAACCTAGCAACCTGACGGTAACCTAGCAACCTGACGGTAACCTAGCAACCTGACGGTAACCTAGCAACCTGACGGTAACCTAGCAACCTGACGGTAACCTAGCAACCTGACGGTAACCTAGCAACCTGACGGTAACCTAGCAACCTGACGGTAACCTAGCAACCTGACGGTAACCTAGCAACCTGACGGTAACCTAGCAACCTGACGGTAACCTAGCAACCTGACGGTAACCTAGCAACCTGACGGTAACCCAGCAACCTGACGGTAACCTAGCAACCTAACGCGTATATTGCAAGATATACCCTCCTGCTGCATATTGGCTGTGAATCATGCTGCCAGTTGACAACTGAAAATTGACTGAAACTGAGACAAAGATAAACCACATCCTATATGAGTAGCTGACCTCCAACCACATTTCACACACCCACACGAGATCTAGAGATCGGTAATAGCACAGGTAGGAGACACAGTGAGAGAGCGGGAGAGTGGAGGCCACTAAGGAAGGCCCCCTGCAGCAGCAACCCCACGGCAACTCTGTTTGATCCTGTCTGTTGTGAATATTATTACCGTCAAGCCCACTCCCCCTCTCCTCCTGTACTTCTTGTGTGTACTCTGTAGACTCTGCAGTCTGCTGGCTCGTCTGTCTTTTGTTTCGTAGTGAACTATAGTGAGACGCTGTAACCTAGCAACTTGACGCTGTAACCTAGCAACCTGACGCTGTAATCTAGCAACTTGACGTTGTAACCAATGAGACAGAAACTCAGCAAAATGTGAGTTGTTACTCTTAGGATCATATTATGCAGGTACCACGTAAAGGTATCAAGTTTATTCAAAATGTGGTGTACGAATGAAAATTCAACCTTTCGACAGAATGATAAAATTGGATTTTTCCACCTTCATATGTGTTCTTTACACTTTAGCAAGCATAAAGGTCTTTTGTTTACTGTATACACGCGCTTGTTCCCACTTGTTTTTGATTTAGCTTCTATTTATGGACACCACCAGTAAACTTCTTGCTTTCCCGACCACTCTACACTGGGGACCTAGCGATCTGCTTAAAAGGAAATCAATTTAAACTAATTACAACACTACAAATCTATTACATATATTGACTATTGAGCTATGTAAGTTATTATAACGTCCTGTCTATGACAAAGGCATGTTGCCGAAACGTCTACAAATAATTTGTTTTCAAAACACTGAGTGGAGATTCTCACTTCGTCAACAACATTCATCAAAGGAAATCAATTAGGGTTTAGATTCGTAAGAGCTACATAGAGAAGGTGTTGAAGTTAGCCACGTGACAGTCCAGTGTAGAGTGTTATCACCATCCTTGTATTTCACACCTGAAAAGCTAAAGTAAATTTCAACTCCTCCCCGGAAATAGGTGCATAACTTAATATATAAGTTTATTCATGAGTTAACTTAATATATAAGTTTATTCATGAGCTAACTTAATATATAAGTTTATTCATGAGCTAATTTAATATATAAGTTTATTCATGAGCTAACTTAATATATAAGTTTATTCATGAGCTAACTTAATATATAAGTTTATTCATGAGCTAACTTAATATATAAGTTTATTCATGAGCTAACTTAATATATACCTTATCGGACCTTATTTGGACGGACATTACATGAACGGACACAATTATGAAGGGACATTAATATGAACGCTCGAAGGCATTCAAAACCATCAAAAATCCGAATTTTTTTCAATATTTTTTGATGTTTTTTAAATTTCAGCAAATGATTTTTAAATCCATTTTTTATACAGTAAGTAAGAAAAGCAGTCATTAAGCAGTAAAAATGTTAAAATATGTGTACATGATCAGTGGGTTTTTGTGCATGAAATAGTCCATGCTTAAAGCATCAGTGATTTCTAGCTTTATGGAAACCTTTTTTTTAAATCAAACTAGCCCGGTCCTGCATTTCAGTGTTAACTTTTACAAGCCATTCGGCGTGAAGTGGTTTTATCTTAGACAACTTAAGGTCAACCTTAACATCACGTGGAGCTTTCCTAGCACTGTTTCATTACCGCCCCCGAGTAATATGAACTATAACAACGTCGGACAATGTCCTTGGCAACACGATTTACCGTAATATCTAGAGGCTGGAACAAGTTTGTCATGTTGGCGGGGACTAGTTCATGAACTATGTTGTTGAGTGCCATAATTTCGTTGACTTTTTTCCGCCAAATGACCCTTGAAAACATCATATACTAGTAGTAGTAGTAGTAGAGTTTTCTGTGCCTCCGGCAGACCAAGGAGAACCTTTCCGTCGTTGACTTACGGCACAATAAAGTTCTCAAAGTTGTTATATTCTGGACAAAAAGTTCGAAATGGAAAAATTTTTGAAAAAATTTCGACGGACTTTAACTTGGACGGACATTAATTGAACGGACTTTATTTGAACGGACATTCAGATGGACGCTAGGGCCTCCAGCGTTCAAGTAATGTCCGTCCAAATAAGGTCCGATAAAGTAAGTTTATTCATGAGCTAACTTAATATATAAGTTTATTCATGAGCTAACTTAATATATAAGTTTATTCATGAGCAAGTTATTCAAAGGGAATATGGTGTAAGAAAGTAAATTTAGCTTTTCGAGGGAATGATTAAGACGGATTTTTGAAAAACAAGTGGTTTTGAGGTGAACAGAAGTATTTATCGCCACTCTGCAAGATTTTGTGAGTTAAAATATGTGAAAATGATAAAGTTGGGTTTTAGAAAGACTAGTGGCCACATTTCTCGTTTTCTGGTCAGCATAGCTATTTTTTAATGAAACTGTAAAACTTGAGTGGACTGTGGAGGCGAGAAACAAACTTTTAGCGAACTTTTATTTCGGATGGTTACAAGGTTACGACCACTCATTCCCCCATAAAATTCCATAGAATTATTGTGGTTTAATTCTATTCCTACACGATGTTAACTTGATGTTAGAACACATAATTATATATTCTGGTAGTTAACGTCTGCTTCACCAAAGTTCGTTTGTTTAGATTGAGGAAACTCTAGAACATTTAGAGATTTAGGTAAGTCGTACATGTAAGATGTGAGATGTATATGTACATAATATGCTCATTATTTCATGATTTCATGATTTTATAAAAGTTTGTTAATTTTGTCGTCGCTCTGCTTTACTTGTATCACAACAAGAACTGCAAAAAATTGATTACTTAATATGTGAACGACCGCTTAATAAAAGTTAAACAACATTTTGCAAATACTTTACAATTTACACAATACTAGAAACCATTTCACAATTGTTGGTCATATTATATGTTGAGGATAACAAATATTCCAAAAATAACAATTCTTGCGCATAATGAGTATGATATAAAGATGACTAAACTTAACTGTTTATATAATATAATACGCATGACACGATCACCAGGATTTCATTAGTCACGGGTTTACGTTTATAACGATATTATTATTGGTAATAGTTGCCTTAAATTATGTTGCTATTTCCGCCACAATAACAACAAACTGTCAATTTAAGTAAATCCTATAAATCTTGCCAAGTACATCGTAAATAGTTACAAAATAGTCTGATACACGCCTTTGTCAATTAAAATACCAAATTTAAAGTTTTTTTTTTGTGATAAAAAAAATAAATAATTAGGTACCCACCATTGTGTGTATTTTTTAATATTTTTTTATATATATTTGTATTTCGATCGAGGACCGCCCAAAGTAAAAGTAAGTATTGTGTGTAATAAATAAACAAACAGGTCGTTACTAAAAGTACAATGCTATTATAACACTAGCTAACATTACAAAGACTTTTAACACAATAGGACCCCGTCACCTGACACTTCTACAATAGACTACTGGGGTTTTGTCATCTGGGTCACAGCAACAAGGCCCGCCTTTTCTTTTATCTTCCTCTTGTTGCTTGTGTATATATTGCTTGTGTGAGTTGTTATTTGTGTGTTTGCTAAAGGTAGTGGTAAAGTTAGACTAAGGAGACTAAGGAGACTAAGGAGTCTAGGGAGTTGCAGATTGGGGCCCCCTGGTTCATGCTACCAGGAGTTAGTCACCATGGCAACCATTCGACATTTGGTCAGACGAGGTGGGTTTATTATATTATCACTAATTTCTGCAGAATTTCTTAATTTTATTGAATATAAGGTAGACCTTGTAACTGAGTTTGCTTTAAGAAATATTCAAGGTAGGATTTTAGCTAATAAATCTCAGACTTGCTCAAATTTTGTATAAAATTAGGAAGCAAAGATTTTGTTATCCATAGAAGTCTCAAAATGGCGACGAAATTTTGAAACAGCATATTATGTTTCGTATCTTGCATACCTTATCGGACATTATTGTCACGGATAAGTTTTTCACGGACATAATTATTCACGCTCATGACCGCCCAAAAATGTCAAAAAATTGTGAGAATGTTTGGTGATTTTTTAATAAGTGCTTTACTCTTTTTCTGAACTCTAGAATGTAACTGAGGAGTGATTATATTTGTCCAAGTATACAAACTTACTAATAAACTAATATAGTAATCGGCTACACACATATCTACGCATATGTAGGGACACACACACTAAAATTAATGGAAATAACTACCGAACTTTGTTATTCACAGACCTTAATGCCACAGACATTATTTTCACGGACTAAATTAGTCACGCTCAGGTATTCAGCGTGAAAGTAATGTCCGTGATAATTATGACCGATAAGGTAACTGATTTCAGATTCGTGATATCAAAATAAGACGAATGATAAATCAAAATTCTTTGTGAGTGATTCGAGTTGATTTTAATACAATAAGGCTTTAAAATTATGATACATTTCAGCACTTATCAAACCTTCAAACGGTCTTTATTACTTTATTACGATTTCGTGCAGTTTTGTAGGTAGTTGATAATAGTTGTTAAAAATTTGCGATCATTATTTTAAGTTCGATGTTGGAGCTGGTGCCCGGATGAAACATGAAATTTCCGAGACACAGTTCACTACATTTCCAAATCGGATACCCAAACCCAATTAGGAGAAATATTTAGCATAGTTAAAATCGCATTATCCACATAAATTTGATGGCCAATGTAATCGAGACAAACTGAATTAACCTCCCGTTTGCACCCCTTATTTGCACAGTGATGGTTTGCAGCAGCACATGTATAATGATTTGCTCCCTAGACAGAACCCGCAAATTAGATTCCCACACGATGAATGTACAGAGAAATCCCAGGACAATCCCAAGACTCTCCCCACCACTTTCAACAAACTTCACCTCAGTATGATCAGTCTGATAACAACAATATAATTGAATTACTCTGTAAAACTCTGTAGGATCGTGCCCGCTCCTTCATAAATACTACAATACTTCCTAGTGGAGAGGAGGTGTATCTGGCACTGATATCAGCCGGGCTATCAGTACAGAATTCCCTTTTACCCCCAGTTGTCTTACTGTTTGGTGTGTCTCCGTGTCCTGAACACCACAGACCTGTTATAGTGTGAAGTCGCCGGTTGTACAGTCTGCTGTTTTTCTATGTTTGCTGTGGTTGACTGACTTGGAATTAGACCCTGCTTGCTGTGTGAACAATGTCTATGAAGATAGGTTTCCACGCTCCATCTCTCGACACTGTCAAAGGGTAAATTCACTGAATTATTTATGAAGTCGGATGCATACATAAATAGTTAGGGTGGATTTCCTCCGTTGCGTCGATAGTAGCAACTGGATTACGGTGGAGTGTTATCAAATTGAAGCGTCAAGCATTAACCTCGAATAAAAATTTTGTATTTTTACGACACCAGTTCTAACCACGAACCCCGCCATGCGTGCAATAGTGTTCTGTTTACCTTCGTGTACTGGCAGCACCCCTCCATCGCAAATCCTTCAGACTAATCTGTCATATTCAATCTTTTTAAGTCCGTTCTTCGCTAAAATTTGAGATTTTTCAATACGTTTTTTACACTCAAATTGTGACAAATGAAAGTTGCTAATTTTTGTGCACAGGAACTAAAGCTCTGCATAATGGCTATTTCTATACAGTTTTATCTGTCATGACACCCTAGTAACACCCTAGTAACACTGTAGTAACACCCTAGTAACACCCTAGTAACACTGTAGTAACACATGACATTGTCTAAACAGCCTGTTTGGTCGTGATGATCTCCAGTTTCAGTATGTCCACTAGTCTCCCTACAATGCAGCGCCTAAATAAGTTGCTGGGTAACTGGCCGTGCAGGTTCGTTTATATTGTATCTAGGGTGTTACTAGGGTGTACCCTAGTAACACCCTAGTAACACCCTAGTAACACCCCAGTAACACCCTAGTAACACCCTAGTAACACCCTAGTAACACCCTAGTAACACACTGCAGCGCCTGATTAGTGATTAGGTTGCTGGATAACTTGTTGTGACTTGTGCAGGTTCGTTTATAAACAACAATATAAATATTGTTGCAATATTCCGAGGATAGTTACAAGTAATACCTTTATGAAAATAACTGTCAGTCACTACACTTAAAATATAAAGTGGAGGTATTTCAAAATCCGGAAGTATAAGCACAAACCCGCTTGTTCACTCGTCACTCGTCAACGAGCGGTGAATAATGAATATGTTTACCCAGACCATTCGCTCAGACGGAATCCTAACTAAAATTCCACCCTAACCCCATAACATACACATTACTTTATTTATTTTCTTTCCTCCAAAGCAACTTGAGAATTTTGGAAATTCCTTACCTATTATAAATGATATGCAATATGCAAACCGCCGAGGAAAGATGTATAAATAATCAAAGCCCTTAGGGCATATTTTTATTCATTGCCTGAAATGTTATTCATCGCCTAAAAGAACCATGGTAATACCATGTGGTAACACCATTGTAATATCACGGTAACACCATGGTTATACAACGGTAACGCCCCAGTAACACCCTAGTAACACCATAGTAACACCCTTATTTCAGGATGTAGTAACGCCCTAGTAGTAGTAATACCCTGGTAACACTCTGATAACACCCTGATAAAACCCTGGTAACACCCCAGTAACACTCTAGTAACACCCTTATTTCAGGATGTACGAGCGGTCGTTGAACCAGATCCTACAGGTTTTGCGGAGGATAAAGTGTCTAACATACGGCATGTTCCTGATAACCTTCACAACTCTCGTCCTGTATCTGGTCAGGGATGTTATGACAGTTCATCTCATCTCTCAGCAGGCTTGTGAGTTTCTTTATATTATGTAGTTTGTAATGTTTATAATACTCAGCAGGGTCTGTGTAGTTTGTAATCTTATCTTACTATATATAAAGCGAGACGATATATATATATTTATTTATCCGCACCATTTTACTGACACCACGGCATCAACTTTAACACGGGTTTCCGCAAAAACCGTACAAGATATAAAACTGAAACTTTTTTAACTGATTCAAATGCTTTAATGGCCTTCAAATCAGCATGAAAAAATCGAAAATCGGCCAAGGAATAAGAATTTTATTACCCAAAATTTGGACCCCCAAGTGGTGTCAAAAACGCGAATTAAATAGGTAATAATTATTTTTACTGGGAGACTTTAGGGTAGGAAACTGATCCGGCCACCAAAGAGCCTTGACACCAGTCTTAAAGGTTTGACGGGTTCCTGCTAGTTATATATAAAGCGAGACGATATATATATATTTATCTGTGCCATTTTACTGACACCACGGCATCAACTTTAACGCGAATTTCTTCAAAAACCGTCAAAGATATACAACTGAATCTTTTTTGACTGGGTCAAATGCTTTAATGGCCTCCAAATCAGCATGAAAAAATAAAAAATAGGCCAAGAAATAGGAGTTTTAGAGCCCAAAATTTGGTACCCCAAGTGGTGTCAAAAACGCGAATTAAATAGGTAATAATTGTTTTAGTCTCTTCAGTCTTGACACCATTTTAGGGTTAGACGGGTTCCTGCAAGTGTTTATAATACTCAGCAGGCTCTGTGTAGTTTGTAATGTTTATAATACTCAGCAGGCTCTGTGTAGTTTGCAATGTTTATAATACTCAGCAGGCTCTATGTAGTTTGTAATGTTTATAATACTCAGCAGGCTCTGTGTAGTTTGTAATGTTTATAATACTCAGCAGGCTCTGTGTAGTTTGTAATGTTTATAATACTCAGCAGGCTCTATGTAGTTTGTAATGTTTATAATACTCAGCAGGCTCTATGTATTTGTAATGTTTATAATACTCTGCAGGCTCTATGTAGTTTGTATTTTATACTGCAGTGTTTTTATATATCTGCTTCAACTTTTTTAAAGTTTTAACTTCCTGTTCCATCTAAAAACAAAACTCATTGCTAGTCCGGCAAGTTCACAGAATCACGTACTTACAAAATATGCTTATAGTTATAATTAAATCTAAATCAATAACTGCGATATACTAGGGACTACACGTTTCTGGTATTTTGATCTGATTAGTGTAGAAAATAGTGCCCTCTATTTATAACTACTTGTCGATAAACATACTTATTAATTACCTTAGTTGTATCTTAAACTGTCTGCAAATATTCACGATTATGTAACATTTTTTGGCATGGATATTTGGACAACTCTGAAAATTAGGTTTAATGAAAGAGAGGCTCGAATTAGTGCTGTAGGTGTACCCTGGTAAAACCCTAGTAAAACCCTAGGAACACCCTAGTAACACTGTAGTAACACCCTAGTAACACCCTAGTAAAACCCTAGTAAAACCCTAGGAACACCCTAGTAACACTGTAGTAACACCCTAGTAACACCCTAGTAACACCATACTAACACCATACTAACACCTTAGTAACACCCTAGTAACACCCTAGTGACACCCTAGTAACACCCTATTAACACTGTAGTAACACTGTAGTAACACCCTAGTAACACTGTCGGTGTTAAGACTATTGCCTTATTACAGGGCTAGGGTGCGACTTCAAACTGATTAGATTGTATTACCTGTCTGCACCAGGCGGTGAAGGGCGGAGTTTGGAATCTTATTTGAGTAATTGCTAAGGGAAAGTATCGGCAGCAAAGTACGTATCAGTCGCACCATTTTGTAGAAACAAGATATGATCCAATTACTCAATTATATTATAGGGTACTACATATCATAGGATAGACCATGATATAAATCTAGTTATCGATCCTAATTCCATTGATCATAAAACAACCAATTTGGATTCCTCGTAATTACGCTGAAAGAGTTATAACCTTGAAATTATATTAAATAAAAATGGCAACATAATCCCTCCTTTCGGTAGTGACCTGTAATAATTATAGACTAAAAGTCTGATTGCAGTTAGCCCTTATAATCCATTAACTTGGAGCCAACATTGTTTAAAACTTCAATAAAACAAACAGTCAGAGATTAGCATCTCATCATTATCTTCACATATCCCCCTCCCTAGTAACACCCTAGTAACACCCTAGTAACACCCTTATTTCAGGTGATGACCTGTAATATTATTAGACTAAAAGTCTGATTGCAGTTAGCTCTTACTCTCCTAGAAGCCATCGGCTAAAATCACATCAACTTCTCAAAGGCTAATGGGTTGCAGAAGTCTGCCAGCCATTAAAGCATTAAGCGCTCTCAGATTTTGTAGACCAATGACAAACAAATTGGAGAGTTCAGATCATTAAAAAGGCCCCTTCCAGCCATTGCCACCTGCCACCTAATTTGGCAGGTTTTACATTAAGACTGATAATCAATTTGAAGTCTTAAAATGATTCCTGCAAAATTAACCGAAAACCTGCCTATTTATCGTATTCGTGCAGAGATTTATCTCACGTAATTATTTAATCGAGTTGTTGATTTATAGAAAAGCCTGCAAAATTAACACAAAACCTGCCTCACCTTTCACCTACTCTCGGCAGGTTTGCTCTATTTTGGCAGGTTTTCCGTTAAATATAAAGTCGAATGCTGCAGATTTAACGCAAATCCTGCGTAAGTTGAGATAATTTGAATCAACTTGTGGCGTGATTAAACCTATATTGGCAGGGGTTTTGGATAATTTGAGTGTACAATGTGGAATACTGTAATGATCGTATAACCTTATTACTAGGTAGGGTGTAGGACTGAGACTTGGTTTGTGCAAAGCTACAGAAGTACAGAATGCTACATGCCTACATGGCTCTATAGTTTATACTTTTATACATGCAGTCACTAGTCAGTGGCGAAACGACCGCCCGACACTCCGGCAACCCCTGCTATGCGGAAGGGGATGGGGGGGGGTGCAGCTGCGGCCTCTTAGGTACGTTTCGCCACTGCATATTATCCACTGTTACCAACACGGGGTCTATGATAAGTTTGAGTATAAAAGTACAGGGTGGGCCAAAAGTCAGTGTGCAAACGTTGGCCTTAATAGCTCAGTCACTGAGTGCCTAATTGAAATACTTCCTTCTGGTATGACTTAGTACCACCACTGGTTCGAGGAATTTGTCAACTCGAAAAATATTCGCGTTCATTTTTTTCAAATGGAGGTTCATTTTCACATTTTTTTGATAGTTTGGATAATCGGATCAAGCTAAATGTTATTGAATTGTGTTTGGCCATTCGAATTACGTTTGCCCTGAAAGAATGAGAGTTCTAGCTTCTCAGATGACCGAGATATGAAGCATAACAAGCTTGTTCATTACGTGTGATCAGGTGATTGGTTTACCTAATCACGTGATAAGGTGACCCCGTTAACTACCCCGTTAAACATTATGGGAATTGTTAAGGGTGCCCAATTAAGGTGTCGTGTCACGGTGTCACATAATCACCCAGTCAATTTGTTAACGAGATACACAAAATGCTTGTTAACTTCGTCATTTCTAATCCGTTTTGCCTCATTTTTTCAGATCATATGCAACATTTGATAATCTATCGTCTCTTAAAAAATTAGGCGTTCAGGATTTTCAGAGAAAATAATATAGGTGTTTTAATATTGAATGGGCGTGGTCTAAAATATTCGAATTTTCAAATTTTGACGACGGAATCCTCGAACCAGTAAGTACAGTATGCCATCTGCAAAGCAACAGCTCTCAAATATAAAACTCAGCGGAGGTATAAGACCCAACGTTTGCACACTGACTTTTGGCCCACCCTGTATAAAAACCGATTATTGGAAAATAACTGTTTGCTTAACTTCAGTTCTTAGGTTGCCATTTTTAGATTAGATTGCTATGTTCTTAAGTAGTGAGGACAGCACTTTTTCAGTTGCAGTGCCTCTACCTGTTCATTGTTCACATTGTAAGATTTAGTGAATGAAGTGATTCTGAAAGAATCTTCAATTACAATTAATATAATAGTTCTAAATATGCAGTTATTTTCAGATTATGAGATATTTGATCGGAAATTTGTCACACTTTAAAGTGACACTTAATAAGTTGGACCTTAATCGAAATTCGTATTCACGAATTGGAAATAGCTCGTACTATAATTTATAGGTTGACCTCCCACATATGCTCTAAGTGGGAGGTCAACCTATAACTCAAATTATTGCTATTTACCAATATTAATTGATCACTGATGTGGCACTTTCAGCGGAAAATTAGTAATAGAAAGCGGACAAACCAGTTTTGGTGAAGGATGTATATCTTATACTCTTATAGTAGTTGTACACTGTACAGCAATGCTAAGGTAATGAGGTAATGCTGTAATGGGACTACTGCGGACCCTCTACCGGCCAAACATATTATCTCATTATTGAAGGGTGTAGACTGTAATATAGATGTAAGAACTTGCTAAATTGGGAGGTGACTGTTTTAAAATGATCAGATGCTTGCTTACTAACTTATTAAGAATGAGAGGTGATAGTGATTTACTTTATCTTGACAGGACAGTTAAGTATTTAAGCTTAAGAAACCACGTGGAGCTAAACGGTGCAAGTGATATAATACTTGAAAATTGACCCCCCCCCCCCCCCCCCCCCCCCGACAATTGACCAAACAAATATATTTATTATACTAACCCTAACAGTAACCCGATTGGGCGACATCTGTCCGACAGCGACATCTGTCCGACAGCCGAATTGGGGATTTCGGACAGATTTCGCTGTCGGACAGGAGTCGTTTTTGGCGACATCTGTCCGAATTTCGGATCATATTGTAATTTCGGTTCACATTCGTATTTCACAAACTCACGGGTAATTTCGTGACGTTATTGCTCCCATTGTTCGAATGCTGATTTGATCCATTGAGATCTGATCCATCGATACGTGATTGACTATTTAATGACAGGATTGTGCTAGCCGTACACTAACAAGCTGTCGATCACATCACAGGACACAGCCTACATGGTACATATAGGATAGCAGCCGTATGGAGATCAGTTATCGCAATCCACAATGGCAACCAATCTTCAGTAAACAGACCCAGATCTGCAGCAAACAGACCCGAGAGATCTGGAAACGCTATCCATTCCTGCAAACTAAATCCTCTCTACCGACAACAGTCCAATGATGCTCTGGGACTCTGGATGGGACGAACAGACTCGTCGATCATTCCTTTGGGGGACTCCTAAGAACGAAGATCATATGGTGGACGCGGAGCATTGCGTAGTCAACGCCCAACGGTACCTTCAAATCCGCACCTAATCTCTTCCATCAGCTCTTCACAGTCCACGGACTCTTCCCTGACGGCTGGCACCTCCCCCTCTTCTAAGGACTCATTCCTGGAAAATCGACGACCCTCTACCGCAACATGTTCGAGGAGATAGACACCTGGGCTTCTGAGGCCTTGGGGCTACCAACCACAATACATTCTCATGGACTACGAGCTCGCCATTCACAATGCAGTTGCTTCATGCCTGCCTGCCTAGGTCGAAAATAAACTAGTAGTACACTATGGCTCAGATCATATCTCAAATTGGGAATGTTACGTATTCAAATTAACAGTTCAGATCACGTCTCTAATTGGAAATGTGTTGTATTGAAATCAGATCACAATTTCGGACAAATGTCGTTTTTTCTGGTACCCTGAGTCGGACAGATGTCGCTGTCGGACAGATGTCGCTGACAGGAGTCGTGTTACCCAGTAACCCTAACCCTGACCCTAACCCTGACCCTGACCCTGACCCTGACCCTGACCCTGACCCTGACCCTAACCCTAACCCTGACCCTAACCCTGACCCTAACCCTGACCCTAACCCTGACCCTAACCCTGACCCTAACCCTGACCCTAACCCTGACCCTAACCCTGACCCTAACCCTTACCCTAACCCTGAATTGACCCCAGTGTAATTACATGGGGGGTCAATTGTCGGGGGTAGATTGCATCAGGGGGTCATTTGTCGGAGGGGGGGGGGGGGGGGGGGGAGGGGGTCAATTGTTGCGGTACCGTACTATATAAGTATATAGCGTACTATACCTCTCATTTGGAGATTCAGTGCCATGGTTGTCAGCTTTTTATCAACTCCGGCCAATTTCTTGACTGCGCTAATCAACTCGGTTTTATTGACTTTTAGTTTTGGTGCCAAATTAGCAAAATTCCAAATAACTTAAGAACTTAAAAGAAAGATAAAAGAAACCTGCCAATTTATAAATTTAACGCTGCCATAATAAGATTATAGCATTATAATCTATTTGGCATGGATTGATAATTTTATAACAAATCCTGCAAAGTTAATGGAAAACCTGCCGATTTAACTTTATCACTGCCGTAATCTATCCGGCAAGGATTGATAATTTTATAAAAAATCCTGCCAAGTTAATGGAAAACCTGCCGATTTAACTTTATCACTGCCGTAATCCATCCGGAAAGGATTAATAATTTTATAGCAAATCCTGCCAAGTTAATAGAAAACCTGCCAAATAACAAATACCTGCGCTGTTGATGCAGGATCACTAGTTAATTAGGCAGGTTTTGACATAAAAAATTAAGAGAAAACCTGCGGATTTAGTGTAATATACTGCTGATCTTGACAGGATAAATTAGATTACTAGGCAGGAGTGGTAATTTCGCAGTCTTCGCTATTAACTGGGCAGGTTTTAGGTTAAATTCGCAGTGGCAATGGCTGGAAGGGGCCTTTAAAACATTTGGGCCCGCCTCTAACACGAACACAGTATGAAGACGATCCCAAGAGATCATTTTCAAGGATCAGAAATATATGGCAATTAGTCGGCAAATTATCTGGCTGAACCCCCAGGACGGACAAGGTGACCATGTTACTAGAGTGTTCCTAGGGTGTTGTCATACCCCATAGAGGGGGACAAGCATACAATCTTTAGATAATGAGTCAAGTCTGCAGTATGCATCTTAGACTCTTAGACAACTGTCTGTCATTATCGCCTATAACAGCTGGGGACAACTGTCTGTCATCATATTCATCGCCTATAATAGCTGGGGACAACTGTATGTCCTCATCGTCTATAGCTGGGGACAACTCTATAACTAGGACTATTTCAGCATTTCCGGTGACTAGAAGACACCCTGGCTTTGCTGCCTCGATACAGATGGAGTTCCGTCAAGAGTGCTCCCCTCAGCAGAACATTATCTTCACTAAAACCCACAAAACAGGCAGTAGCACCATCACCAACATACTTCTCAGGTAACTAGAGTAACTATGGTAACTAGAGTAACTATGGTAACTAGAGTAACTATGGTAACTACAGTAACTATGGTAACTACAGTAACTATGGTAACTGCAGTACGTCGTATTGTATTTATTCGACGCATTTCAAAACTTGAAATTTTAGTGATCACGTATTAAAGCTTTCAAAATTCGGCCGAATCTTAAGTGCCATTAACTTGGAGCCGAAAATGTTTAGAACTTCGATAAAACATACTGCCAGAGATTAGCATCTCATCATTGTAACACCCTAGTAAAGTAGTAACACCCTTTTTTCAGATACGGGGAAGGTAACAACAGGACCCAGCTACTGTACAAGTACCCCTCCAGTACGGAGTTCAAGAAACTGGTCCCTGAACGACTTCTTACCGGTCGCTCTACGGCCAACATCTTCGCGCAGCATGCCAATTTCGACCAGGGTTTCCTCAAACGTCACATCTATAACACCTCTAAAACTTTTACCATCCTACGCTCCCCTGTTTCACAGTTCCTATCAGCGTTCAGCTTCTTCGAGAAGACCCGGCTGTATCCAGCAGATACCTTCGAGGAGAGCATCAAACTCTTCTTCAAGAGTCACGGTCACGACAAGTACCTCACTGATTCCTGGTTCTGTAAAAACTGTGGAATGTTGGTGAACGCCAACAGCATGGACATGGGGTTCAACACAGAGGGCTACGTCACAACAGAGAACCAGGAAAAGTACATGTCTGACTTTCTGGAGGAAGCCTCGCGCACGTGGGATTTAGTGCTGATAACCGAGTACTTTGATCTGTCACTAGTTCTGCTGAAGAGACGGTTCTGTCTTCAGTTTGAGGATATCTTGTATCTGAGATCTCTGGAGAGGATAAAGAAAGAGACAGTAGAGGAGCCCTACACGCTTGCTAAGATTGCAGAGATGCAGAAGTTGGATATAGCGCTCTATGACTATTTCAACGCTACATTTTGGCGGGAAGTGGAAAAAGAGGAGGGAATTTTTGAGGAGTTGGCTATTTTCCAAAAACTGAATAAACAAGTTCAGTCCTTTTGTGTTCAAGGTAAGACGAGCTGGATTTCCTCTGCACGATCTTAGTCAAAGTTTTAAAGTTTTCATTTATGTAAACGTAACGTGTAGATTCTGCAAACAAATTGGAAACTTGAGCAGGTTGAATATTTAAAGATCCTCGCCAGGGTTTGGATTTTTCCGGAATTTGCTTAGCAAACTTTTGAATGATTAATTTAAAAGTTTAAAACTAACTTACTCTTTAAAAGAAACTCGTGCCACAGGTTCTAGAGTTGGATACCAGGGAACGTACGCTAATGTCCTCTCCCCGAAAGGGAAGGAGAACTTCCAGTGTGTTGCTATGAACACTAGATGTCTAAACTTCATCAGATTACTAGGTTAGTCGGCGGAGCAATGATTTTTATTAAACTCGTTTGTAAAACTACTTTGGTATTCTACTTCGATATCAAAAACGTATTGCAATTGTGTTGCAGCTTGACAAGCTTTGATTCTTTTTTTTTCTTTTTTTTTCAATGAGTCATCAATACTCTAAAACCGAACGATTCAATAAAATCAATTTTAAAACGTCAACCGAAACAATTATCGTTTTTATTCATTTTCCATTCCATGACAGAAGCAAGAGATGATATTGCGGTTAAAGATGAAGATATGGAGGAGATTTCACTTAAGTACACTGATCCTGACAGTTTAAATCTAGATCAAGTTACACATATGGACAGAAATGATAACGTCATTGATTTAGCTTACAAAAATAGATTTAGGTTTTGATTCTTGTAGACAATTTTAGGTTTATCTTTAGTTATAATATTGATTCTTAAATGGGTAGAATTTTTTAATGAAAATCTTCTCGTTGATCGAGAAGTTGAATATAGATTATAGGAGTTTTATATAAATGCATAATTCGTGAATTATTAGCATTTTAATGAATAATAATCTCAACACTTATTTTACTTCGGACATTCCAACAGCCACATTGTTACACAAGTGTGTAACCAGCCAATTACAGGAAGCCGAAGGATTCAATTATACATTAGGCCAGTGACGGTTAAGGTAGTGTGTACCATACTTTCTTCGCCCGAGACTTTGCTGCAATGGGCAGCTCCTCATTTAACCCTCACACCCGATTTCTCGAGTATTTGGCTGAGTGGACCGGGGGGCTGCATAGACCACTCAGGATCTTTAGCTGAGCGTCGACGACGCTCACCCCACGGCTAGTGACAGAGTCGGGAATCGAACCTGGTACCTCAAGCAATACCAGGCGGATTAACCAACTGAGCCACTAAGCCGTGAAAAGCCACTAAGCCGTGTGAGCCACTAAGCCGTGAAAGATAATATGAAAATATTCAGTAAGCGTATCAGACTTGCTAAACTGAATGTTTAACGACTCAGTTTATTTAAATATTCAGTTTAATGGCTGCTACAGAGGTAAGTAAGAAACGAAAGTATTGTTTTCATTTGTAAACTTAGTATCACCACAGAAGGGTAACGGCAGAAGGTTTTGCGGGTTAACTTATTTTTAAAAGAATCTCTTTGTAACATGATAACTTTAAATCTTAATATAATTAGTATTCGAAATATCTATACACGGTGGTTCTTTTAGAATAAAATCACAGGGAAATCCTGTGGTTTTCAGGTCCATCTTAATTGAATTTCGGTTGAAAGTTTGGGAATCGAGTTGAATCAAAACCGCAACAAAAGCTGAGGTGACTACAGTAACTATGGTAACTGCAGTAACTATGGTAACTGCAGTAACTATGGTAACTGCAGTAACTATGGTAACTGCAGTAACTATGGTAACTACAATAACTATGGTAACTGCAGTAACTATGGCACCACAAAAGGTGAGCGTTGGACAGGGCGTTCTGATTAATGAAATATGTTTTTAAAGTTTTTGTCTGGGTTAGTGTCTGTTGAAGAAAAATGAGTGACAGATTCGCTGGATAATGTTTGATTACTAATATCTGTCTTTATAGCAAGAAGATCACAGTATTTCATGCTGTTTTTAAATTTCTGTCTAAAGTTTAACCTAGTGTTAACTAGGACTTAAGTGTGAAGGAGAACTCCGTTTTTAAATTATTGAGATATTGAATGATTCGATATTTTGTCCTAAAATTCAGAACAGCGTTTTATGTCTCAGTCTGAAATGCAGTCTTTCGGCAATAATATTTGTATCAACCACATCATCACGGACCATCATTACATTTCAATGAGTAAATCGACAGAAAAGTTAGCAAAAAGGAGGAAGCTACTAAAATAAATTGTCTGTTTCCGAAAAATCAACATCACCCACTGTTCCACAACCTCCTATATTCTCACGCGTGACGACTCACGCACTTATTATCCACTGTGCACTTGAGAGTATTGTCTTGTTTGCACGTGCAAGTTCTACAGCCGCGCATCACTCTACTCCCAGGTGTTAGATAATTACTTCCGGTGTAGCAGCCAGAAACTAGGGACCCAGCACCTGAGAATAAATATTCGGTTAGCTACCAAATATCTGGCTACCTGGCTTTTTCTACCTTTCTAGTTCTCTGTGATCTTTTTCTACTTGTATACTTAACTACCTGGCTCTTTCTATGTGTTACGCAAATTTTTGCTTTACTATTACTAAAATGGTGAATCGAAGGCCACAAAAGTTGTTAGTAAGTAATTGAGTACTCACATTGTTTTGGATGAAGTCTGCTGCAGCGAAGGTGTCCTCTGTTGCACGTGCAGGATTTACAGTGCTGTTTATTGTAGAGTATGGAACTGTTCAGGACCACCATGTTGTACGATATACTACACCCTGGGGAATAATTAGTTAGGGTGTTACTAGGGTGTTACTAGGGTGTTACTAGGGTGCTGCTAGAGTGTTACTAGGGTGTTACTAGGGTGTTACTAGGGTGTTGCTAGGGAACTGTTCAGGACCACCATGTTGTACGATATACTGCACCCTGGGGTATAGTTAGCTGACTATAAGCTGAGCAGATCACTATGAAACTGGTTATAAACCATTAAATAATAAGTAAAAGAGTCTGTCGCTGCCTAACGTCTCTGATTCGGGGCTTTTTTAGGCCCATGATAATAATATACAGATATACCCTTCAGTTAAACAGATTAAATAACAATAAAAAACAAGAAGACTAGCAATACTAACCTGCGTGAAGAGTACTATCAGTGTAACTATGTGGGGGGAGAAAGGAAGGTGGTCTATTAGCAGGAGCACACCTCTCTGCTGACTGGTCGTGACAGCTCAGTGAGTACTGGTGCTGACTCCCTTCCGATAAGGAACACCTGGGCAGGAGGTGTTACTAGGATGTTACTAGGGTGTTACTAGGGTGTTACTAGGGTGTTACTAGGGTGTTACTAGGGTGTTGCTAGCTCAGTGAGTACTGGTGCTGACTCCCTTCCGATAAGGAACACCTGGGCAGGAGGTGTGACTAGGGTGTTACTAGGGTGTTACTAGGGTGTTACTAGGGTGTTACTAGGGTGTTACTAGGGTGTTACTAGGGTGTTACTAGGGTGTTACTCGGGTGTTATAGGAGGAGATATACAATTCAACAAACTGATACTAGACAATATAATTGCACCTTAATTAACTAACTATAATTGGTTTGTGGGCAAAAATTGCACCCAATCTGTCCAATTTGTGTTCAGAAAATTTCATATTTGAAAATGGGACAGGATTTTGAAAATACAACTTTTCGTTTTGTTAAGCTTTCTGCTGTGGACTCCTTCCGACCTAAATCAAACTTCCAGCACCTCAATCGTGCCATTTGGCATCTACAGTTGACTTACTAATTGGTTGTGGGTAAAAATATGTAAAAACTGTAAAATTTCGGTCCTGGAAATTTCATCTTCAAAAACTGAAAATGGGACAGAGATTGGGACAATATGATTTTGCAATTTTATTCGGGATTTTGACTACCAGTACCTCAATTTGGTTCCATGCCATCATCAATTAACTGACTAATTGGTTTGTGGGCAAAAATTGCACCCAATCTGTCAAATTTGTGTTCAGAAAATATCATATTTGAAAATGGGACAGGATTTTGAAAATACAACTTTTCGTTTTGTTAAGCTTTCTGCTGTGGACTTCTTCCGACCTCAATCAAACTTCCAGCACCTCAATCGTGTCATTTGGCATCTATAGTTGACTTACTAATTGGTTGTGGGTAAAAATATCAGTAAAAACTGTAAACTTTTGGTCCTGGAAATTTCATCTTCAAAAACTGAAATTGGGACAGAGATTGGGACAATATGATTTTGCAATTTTATTCGGGATTTTGACTACCAGTACCTCAATTTGGTTTCATATCATCATCAATTAACTGACTAATTGGTTTGTGGGCAAAAATTGCACCAAATCCGTCAAATTTGTGTTCAGAAATTTTCATATTTCAAAATGGGACAGGATTTTGAAAATACAACTTTTCGTTTTGTTAAGATTTCTGCTGTGGACTTCTTCCGACCTCAATCAAACTTCCAGCACCTCAATCGTGTCATTTGGCATCTATAGTTGACTTACTAATTGGTTGTGGGTGAAAATATCAGTCAAAACTGTAAAATTTCGGTCCTGGAAATTTCATCTTCAAAAACTGAAAATGGGACAGAGATTGGGACAATATGATTTTGCAATTTTATTCGGGATTTTGACTACCAGTACCTCAATTTGGTTTCATACTATCATCAATTAACTAACTAATTGGTTTGTCGGCAAAAATTGCACCCAATCTGTCAAATTTGTGTTCGGAAAATTTCATATTTGAAAATGGGACAGGATTTTGAAAATACAACTTTTCGTTTTGTTAAGCTTTCTGCTGTGGACTTCTTCCGACCTCAATCAAAATTCCAGCACCTCAATCGCGTCATTTAGCATCTATAATTGACATACTAATTGGTTGTGGGTGAAAATATCAGTCAAAACTGTAAAATTTAGGACCTGGAAATTTCATCTTCAAAAACTGAAAATGGGACAGAGATTGGCCGTTGGGACAATATGATTTTGCAATTTTATTCGGGATTTTGACTATCAGTACCTCAATTTGGTTTCATACTATCATCAATTAACTAACTAATTGGTTTGTCGGCAAAAATTGCACCCAATCTGTCAAATTTGTGTTCAGAAAATTTCATATTTGAAAATGGGACAGGATTTTGAAAATACAACTTTTCGTTTTGTTAAGCTTTCTGCTGTGGACTTCTTCCGACCTCAATCAAAATTCCAGCACCTCAATCGCGTCATTTAGCATCTATAATTGACATACTAATTGGTTGTGGGTGAAAATATCAGTCAAAACTGTAAAATTTAGGACCTGGAAATTTCATCTTCAAAAACTGAAAATGGGACAGAGATTGGGACAATATGATTTTGCAACTTTATTCGGGATTTTGACTATACCAGTACCTCAATTTGGTTTCATATCATCATCAATTAACTGACTAATTGGTTTGTGGGCAAAAATTGCACCAAATCCGTCAAATTTGTGTTCAGAAATTTTCATATTTCAAAATGGGACAGGATTTTGAAAATACAACTTTTCGTTTTGTTAAGATTTCTGCTGTGGACTTCTTCCGACCTCAATCAAACTTCCAGCACCTCAATCGTGTCATTTGGCATCTATAGTTGACTTACTAATTGGTTGTGGGTGAAAATATCAGTCAAAACTGTAAAATTTCGGTCCTGGAAATTTCATCTTCAAAAACTGAAAATGGGACAGAGATTGGGACAATATGATTTTGCAATTTTATTCGGGATTTTGACTACCAGTACCTCAATTTGGTTTCATACTATCATCAATTAACTAACTAATTGGTTTGTCGGCAAAAATTGCACCCAATCTGTCAAATTTGTGTTCGGAAAATTTCATATTTGAAAATGGGACAGGATTTTGAAAATACAACTTTTCGTTTTGTTAAGCTTTCTGCTGTGGACTTCTTCCGACCTCAATCAAAATTCCAGCACCTCAATCGCGTCATTTAGCATCTATAATTGACATACTAATTGGTTGTGGGTGAAAATATCAGTCAAAACTGTAAAATTTAGGACCTGGAAATTTCATCTTCAAAAACTGAAAATGGGACAGAGATTGGCCGTTGGGACAATATGATTTTGCAATTTTATTCGGGATTTTGACTATCAGTACCTCAATTTGGTTTCATACTATCATCAATTAACTAACTAATTGGTTTGTCGGCAAAAATTGCACCCAATCTGTCAAATTTGTGTTCAGAAAATTTCATATTTGAAAATGGGACAGGATTTTGAAAATACAACTTTTCGTTTTGTTAAGCTTTCTGCTGTGGACTTCTTCCGACCTCAATCAAAATTCCAGCACCTCAATCGCGTCATTTAGCATCTATAATTGACATACTAATTGGTTGTGGGTGAAAATATCAGTCAAAACTGTAAAATTTAGGACCTGGAAATTTCATCTTCAAAAACTGAAAATGGGACAGAGATTGGGACAATATGATTTTGCAACTTTATTCGGGATTTTGACTATACCAGTACCTCAATTTGGTTTCATACCATCATCAATTAACTGACTAATTGGTTTGTGGGCAAAAAGTGCACCCAATCTGTCAAATTTGTGTTCAGAAAATTTCATATTTGAAAATGGGACAGGATTTTGAAAATATAACTTTTTGTTTTGTTAAGCTTTCTGCTGTGGACTTCCTCCGATCTCAATCAAAATTCCAGCATCTCAATCGTGTCATTTGCCATCTATAGTTGACTTACTAATTGGTTGTGGGTGAAAATATCAGTCAAAACTGTAAAATTTCGGTCCTGGAAATTTCATCTTCAAAAACTGAAAATGGGACAGAGATTGGGACAATATGATTTTGCAATTTTATTCGGGATTTTGACTACCAGACACCAGTACCTCAATTTGGTTTCATAGCATCATCAATTAACTGACTAATTGGTTTGTGGGCAAAAATTGCACCCAATCTGTCAAATTTGTGTTCAGAAAATTTCATATTTGAAAATGGGACAGGATTTTGAAAATACAACTTTTCGTTTTGTTAAGCTTTCTGCTGTGGACTTCCTCAGACCTCAATCTAAATTCCAGCACATCAATCGCGTCATTTGGCATCGATAGTTGACTTACTAATTGGTTGTGGGTGAAAATAT